AGAAGTGAAACAGCAACCGATTTGTTTATGTGTTGGGTGAACTTAAGTTTGGAGTCGGTAATAAGTCCTAGATCACGAATATTGTCTGAAGAATCAATAGCTGAGGAGGAGATGAAGAGGAGAGCGTGCTTGTTTCTTGAACCAAGGAGTAGAAGAGAAGTCTTTGTATGAGCTAGAGGAAGCTTATTGTTTGTGGCCCAGGTATCTATAGTGTTGATTCCAGATTGTAGAAGGAAGGGATCATGGGAATTGAGTTTTATGTCGTCAGCAAAAGCAGAGAAGTGGAGAACGGTGGGGATACTTTCAAGAAGATCATTAATGAAAATGATGAAAAGGAGAGGTCCAACCACTGATCCTTGCGGAAGTATATAGCTCCACAGTATGCAACGTTCCCATTCCAAGCAACAACTCATGGTTCTGATGCTCCGTATGTCTTTGGTGATGCAATCGTGAGCCCGTTCAATCCAACTGAAGAGCAATTAAAAGTGATGGATATGATGGGGCAGTTCGTAGAAAATTTCGTCAAATATGGGTGAATTCTAAAGGGATTACGGAAAGGAACTTTTAATTTCAGAAATCCAAATGGCAAAAATTGCATTGGGACATGGGAGAAGTACAATCTCAATCAACCAAATGGATATTTCAAAATTGATTATCCAAAATGTGAAATGAGAGATAACTTTCAAAATGGACGTTTGGAAATTTACAAGGAAATCGAGAAGGATGACGTTAGATATCGAATGTTCCTGTTGAATTAATCTGTTTGAACTGAAAACCGGGATATCATTGTTGTTCTATGAATAAAGTTCCCAAAACTATTTGAAATAACCTTTTTAAAACATAAAAACCTTTTTAAAACATAAAAATTCTAGAGAGGCGTCTAACTTGATCCAGAAAGTCCGTCAAACTGTGGAAGGAAGTCTGGCTTACGCTGGGCATAATTAAACACTTCGGGGTGCTTCGGTACTTTCTGTTCAAGTGAGACACCTTCACTGTTGATCGGAAAAAATTCTTTAATTACAAAAAATTCTGATTAGAAAAATTCTTGAATTTTTCTGCAAAAACTCGAAAATTTTCTTGTAAAAAAACAAAGTTTTTAACGATACCCTGTTTTTTGCGAGACTTTTATTTGGCAGAATTTTGATATTTTCGACTAAACTTTTTTTTAAAAGACAGGACAACAAATATCAGGAAACCAGGACCGAGAAAGTTCTGAAAAAAGCCCGGCCCGGCCCGGCCCGCTGCATGAATGCTTTTTTAAAAATTTATCTTTTAAAAATGTAGCTCTGATTATTTATATTTGCAAGGCTGTCGGCATGTAATCGCCAGAAGTTGAAAAAAGAAACAGTTTTTGGACGGATATTGGCTAGGTTCTGATCGGAACTTGCCGAAAAACGGCTCTATAGCGGACCATGGTTAGATTCTGATCAAAAGTTGAAAGTTTAAATACCGTAAAACCTCTAATAGAACGACACCCAGATCCGTCCCTTTTGAGCCTATATATCTCATTTTCTGTGAAAGATATCAAAAAGTGGCTTACTAGTAAAATGTTGCTGATATCCTGATAAACATTTTACTAGTTAACCACTTTTTGATATCTTTCAAAAGAAATGAGATATATAGGCTCAAAATGGACGATCCGGGTGTCGTTCTATTAGAGATTTTACGGTAATACCAGTGGGTGCGCGCTTCTCCACAAAAGGAAATCGTTTAGTTTTGGATATTTTGGATCAATGCTGTTTTCATACCATTTTATATTGTGGGTGGGTTATTTTGCTCTTATATGAATCCTGAATAAAAGGAGAATTGCTAAATTCTAGTTTTGGACTGATTTGAGGAAACATCTATGAAAACATCAGGTAAGAAACTTGAATAAATATTGTGAATTTCTCCCAGAGAGAGAGAGAGAGAAAACATGAAGAGTGATCGAAAGACGTAAACCATCGTTATATTTCAATTCGACGACTCCAACATATTCACCTACACACCGAAAAAATTTCATCGCTATGAACTGTCCACTTGTCTAATTCTCCACTCTTTCTTGTTTATTTGTACTTTGTTGATCTTTTTCTTGTCTGTCAGGCACACTTTTTTCTGTGTGGTTTATGTCTCGTTTCATATATAAGTGCGCCGTTTCTCAACAGAAAAATATCATTTGATTTTTTATCAGTGTTGTTGACGCTGTTCTCATAATGGGTGGGTTTCTTTCTCATTTGGAGCCCGAACAAAACCATGAAGTTTTAAATGCCAGTTGTGGACCAATTCGAGGAAACATCTACAAACATGTTAGTTTGATAAAATCGTTTAAAACTTTATAAAATAATTTCAGGGAGAGAAAATAGTTGATGGTTATCTTGGAATACCATACGCGAAACCTCCTGTTCGGTTCGAAAAGCCTGTGGCTGCTGAAAAATGGACCGAACCTCTCGATTGCTACACGTACGGTCCTGGATGCCCACAGTCTGGAAACTACGCTGTCGTGGGTTTTATTCTTCAAAACTAATCGAAAAAATTTTTTTCAGATGTGTCATGACTGGATGACATTCGACGAGGAAAAATGTTTGAACCTTAATGTTTTTGCTCCGAGATGGAAATCTGATGAGTTTGTATGTAACGACTTTCGAGATTTCGGTCAAAATAATTTCCTTGTGGTTTCAGCCAAATGGATTACCTGTTTTGGTATACATCCATGGCGGTGGTTTTGAAATTGGATACTCGGGTTATCTCAATGACCGTTCGCTAAGTGGAACTATTCCACTCCGAGATGTAGTGGTTGTTACTATCAACTACCGTGTCGGTGCGCTGGGATTTTTCACTACTGGAGATGACGTGGCAAAAGGAAATTATGGCCTGTGGGATCAAACGCTTGCACTACAATGGATTCAAGATCATATTGGGTCATTTGGTGGAGACCGAAACAATGTGACGATATCCGGAGGAAGTGCTGGAGCGATTAGTGTTGACATGTTGGCATTGAGTCCCCATTCAAACAGTTTGTTCTTATTGATTTTAACATTTCTATCAATATTTTTCAGAACTTTTCAAACGATTCTATTCTTTGTCTGGAACATCTTATTGTACGATTGCAGTTCGTTCCAGTGAAGACGAAACCCACGCGTGTGAAGTTTTCGCAAAGCACCATGGCTACTCTGGAAACGGTATCTCTATACTTCACAAACTCACTCGAAACATTATTTTCAGAGACGAAAAGCCTGTTGAAATGGTATCAGTCGCAGGATGTTTCGATTTTCAGAAAAACTGCCGAGATAGAACTAGATTTTTCTGGTTTCTTGTTTTTCGTCCCTAACTTTGATGGTGATTTCTTCCCGAAAGCATTTGAGGAGTTGAGGAAAGAAGCACCAAACTTGGATGCTATGGTTACGGTTGGAGAGTATGAAGGACTTGGAATGAGTTTGTTATATGAAATTTGTTATGACTGAAAAATTATACTACAGTGACTGGAAATCCAAAATGTACCGGTTCAAACGACCCCTTGACAAATCTGAAATCGATTATAGCGGATTCATACCGTTCTGAAGTGTGCAACAATCATCAGGAGGTTCAGAAGAAACTTCTCGATGCTTACACTGAAAACGTAAATACAACCGATCAGTCAGCAGTTGCCAGGAAACTTGTAGAGGTATTAATTCTCGGATATGGACTATGTTGCATTTAATGTCTTTTTAGTTCCTAAGTGACTACATGTTCAACAAAGCTTCTTTGCAAACAGCTAAGTCTTGCACTACCAATGGGAATAATGTCTACTTGGCATCTTTCGATTATTTGAACACTGAAGGAGATATCGACCCGCAATCTGCAGCACTTCCATTTAGAGCATCAACTCATGGATCGGATCATCCTTATGTCTTTGGTGATGCAATTATGACCCCGTTCAATCCAACAGAAGAACAATTGAAAGTAATGGATATGATGGGACAGTTCGTAGCGAACTTTGTCAAATATGGGTAGGAGATACATTCAAAGCTTTCGATCGGTCGGGAAGTTCAGCCGAACGACCGATTGAAGTAGAAGCCCTATATAGATTAGGAAATCAAAATTTTTTTTATTTATTTTCAGAAATCCAAATGGCAAAAATCAAGTTGGAAAATGGGAAAAGTACAGTCTCAACCAACCAAATAGATATTTCAAAATTGACTATCCAAAAAGTGAAATAAGGGAAACCTTCCAAAATGGACGTCTGAAGGTGTTTGACGAAATCGAAAAAGATGACCTCAGATATCAAAAATTTTTGGGATCTTCTGCTTGAATTTTAAAGGTTTTTTATTTCAAAACGATTGTTTTCAAAATAAAGTTTCTGTTTGGATTATTGGAACTGGTACCCTTGATCTAGACTAAAAAATCTTGTTATTTGATTCAAACAGACACCTTTCGATTTTCAGTTTTTTTGACACATTTTGTTCCTTTTTTCACTTTGTTTTGACAGTTTTTTCAACGATCTCATAATCCAGTTCAACATGATCTTTCACAGGTTGAAAATGATTTTAAAAACAACCAAATTTGAGTTTTTGAAACTGAAACTCATTCCCACTAACTTGTCATGTCTACATTTTCATTTGTTTTCTATGTCATATTAAATTTTTCATTCGCCTCTAGTATAGATGTGTTGGGAACTCTAGCAGGTAACAAGGTTCCTGATAAAAATACACAAGTTTTAAATGCACCATGTGGTCCCATAAGAGGAAATATTTATACTTTTGTAAGTGTAGATTCTAAACTTTAAAACTGAAAAATACTTTCAGGGCTCAAAAATTGTTGATGGCTACTTGGGATTCCATTCGCAAAACCGCCAATAGGAGATCTCAGATACAGAAAACCAGTACCTTTTGATAAATGGACAGAGACAAGAGATTGTTATGAGTATGGTCCTGGCTGTCCCCAAACCGGACAATTTTCCGGGGTGAGAATAGATTTCAAGATTCGCCGTAAAACCTTTAATATAAGGGCCAGCCCTTATATTTTTCGTGTATTTTTTTTTCTTCAATTAAAGGAGCCCTTAAATTTCGGGGGGTTTTTCTAATACAAGTTTTACGGTATCTCTAGAAAAGTTAATCAGTGTTTTCAGCTAACCGCCACAAAAACCTGCCCGTTCTTAGAAGACAACTGCCTAACATTAAACGTTTTTGCACCGAGATGGAATTTGACCGAATTCGTAAACTTTTTTCCTATGAGTGTTTCATTTGATCTCCTATTTTCAGCCCAAAGGATTACCGGTGTTAGTTTACATTTACGGAGGAGGATTCGAGATAGGATACACTTCTTACATGGATGGATATGCAATTACTGGAACAATTCCACAGAGGGATATTATCCTGGTTACCATGAACTACAGACTAGGTCCTATGGGTTTTCTAACCATTGCTGATGGTGTATCGAATGGAAACTATGCATTGTGGGATCAGACTCTTGCTCTTCAATGGGTCCAGGATAATATCGCTGCGTTTGGAGGTGATCCAGCTATGGTGACTCTTGCTGGAACTAGTGCAGGATCTGCGAGTACTGATTTCCTATCGTTGAGTCCTCATTCGAACAGTGAGTACTCAAAAATGATATTGAAAGTGCGATATTTTATTCAGAACTATTCCGAAGATCTATTCAAATGTCTGGAACTGCCTTCTGCAATTTTGCGATTCGACCGCAGAGAGTGGAAGCATCAGTGGGACTGCAGTATGCTCAATCCAAGGGATACGCTGGAAATGGTTTAATTTTTTGAAAAAAAAAACACTTTAGGATAATACTTCGTGATTTTCAGACTCACAAAGTTTGTTTGCTTGGTATCATGCCCAGGATCCTTCCAATTTCAAAGGCGGTTTCCGATCTAAAGAAGCAGGAGTTGTTCCATTTGTTCCCAATTTCGATGGAGACTTTTTCCCAAAACCATTCGATATTCTGAGAAAAGAGGCTCCGAAAAAGGAAGCTATGATCACAGTAGCAGAGATGGAATCCGTTGGAATGAGTTTATTTGAAAACTATCAATCATTATAACGTCAATAGTTTTCAGTAGTCTTCAACAAATTATTCGCGGAGCCATATAGTAATTTTGGACAGTTTGTGGATGAAACATATGGATTAGATGTTACCGACTACTATGAAGATGTGAAGAAAAATTTGACCAATTTCTATTTGGGAAATGTGAGCCCATTGGATAGAAATGCGACTAACAAGCAAGTGTGTGATGTGAGTTAAAAATCATGGAACGGAAACAATGGTTGAAATTGTTCAGTACGTCAGTGACTCTGTATTCAATAGTGGAACCCTAGACTCTGTCAGATCTTATGCTAAATATGGAAATAAGGTGTATTTCGGATCTTTTAACTATTTCAACAAAGTATCTACTGATATGGCTGATGTGTTGCAACCATTCAAAGTGGCGTCGCATAGTTCTGATTTCAAATATTATTTCGGAAGTGGAGTGATGACTGATTTCAAGCCAAATACCGAGGAAAAGAAAGTGATGACAAGTGTTGAAGACTTGATGGCTAATTTTGTAAAATTTGGGTGAGTTGGACATAAAATTTCGGATTCCCGTCTGAACATTTTCAGGGATCCTAATGGAAAAAATAAAACCAAAACCTGGAAACCTTACAACTTGTCTCAACCATTGAAATACTACAAAATAAGCTATCCAACCAGTGGAATGGCCGATAACTTCCAAAACGGACGCCTGTCGCTTTATGATGACATCAATAAGAACTCTAAAAAGTATCAAGAAATAGTTTACGGTTTTCCGAAACTATCCAAGAAAGTTAGTTTCCAAAAATCCGGTTGAGGTCTCTTTTTTCTTTTCTTTTTCTGCAATAGTTTCTCACCAGATATTGTTTTTTTTTGGCGGAATAAATTATTTCAATGACTAATTTTTTTTCTTGAATATAAAAACAAATGGAAAAGCGGAACTGATTGTTGTTTTGATGAATTCGAGAACCGTGTGAAATCATCGTTACCAAACTTCTTTTTTTAAATCACAGGTCGTCCAGATTTTTAAATTGTGTCCGACTGTTCAATTATGCCACTCCAGCCTCCAAAATAATCCTAACTCCAAATCAACTTATTTTTAATAAAAAAAACAAGAACACTTATTTTGAATCTGCAAATTTGCTATTAACTGATACAAACGGAAAGACGGAACTGATTATTTGTTTTCAATAATTCAAGAACCGTGGAGAATTATCGTTACTGAATATGTCTACGGAATTTTGAAATCATTCACGCTTTGTTTGCTGCCGGAACTTTTCCTATATTTTTTCTAATTATGAAGGTAACTGAAAAGTACCCTACTCTGAAAATAAATAATGTTCAGGCGATTCATTTGAAAAATCAAAAAAGTTCAAATTTGGCATTCAAACTGATGAATATCATAAACTTCTTTCAAGCTAGTGAATCTTTGACACATCTCGTAACAGGATTTGCACTAATATTCCCAGTTCTCCATTCCAAGTTTAATTTTTTTGTGAATGTAAATTCTATACTTTTAGAGATTTGAAAAAAAACATAACTTTTTAGGTTATGGGTAGTTTACTAAACGGATTTTGGATTGGCGATTTTCCGATTACTGTTCTTCTTGGTATTTGCCGTATTCTCGTCTTCACTAATGTCATTGAACTGAAAAAAATGCCGCTTTTTGTTAAAATTGCATTATCGACAATATTTTCGTGGTCCATATTTTTGACTATTTATGGTTCATACACCCAGTATTTTATTTTTGTAACACCTGGTTGGGATTACGACTATAATCTCTCAGTAATTACATTTTTCGATACCCAAGAAATTATCATAAGTTTCACATCCCTCCTACTGTCATATATATGCTATATATTCACGGCGTATTTGATTTATACTGTACGTTGAACATCACAGTGTACTAATACAAAATAGTGCTTTTCAGAAGAAAAATCTGTCAAGTAGTGTACAATCCCGCAAAGACGAAATTCTAATTCTGGTTCAATCCACATTAGTCACTGGCTACATTTCCATACTCATATTAATCTGGCACCAAACATTTTTCCCATTTATGTCTTTTATAGATATGACAAAAACAAAAATTCAAGCCGCAATGAATTTTTGTATACTACTTCACTGCTATGTCAATCCGATTTCAACATTTTTTTGCAACAAGTTGGTGAAAAAAGAAAAAGAGAAATGATTTGAATTTCAGATCGATTCGTGAAGAGTGCCTGAGAATTTTGGGGATCCGGAAAGTGGTCCAAAAAAAAAGTATTTCGGTGTCAGGAATTTCTACACGTCGACTAACAGTGTCTACTGTGTCAGCAATCGCATAGTTTAAGAACTAACACATTTGTGCTCATTTATATAATTAAAAAATCCAACAGTTCATGTTAAAGCTATCACCGTGTATACGTTTCTATATCTTGAACTGTGGCAGACAGCCTGCACCAGTCAGCCGATCGTCTCTACAAATTTCTAATAAACGAATCGTATAAATGTATATCTTCGCCGAGCATATATCTTCACAGGTGGATCGCGCAGAACACTATATGGGCGCATTGTGGCCCATACTGCGAATGCGCGCATATAGCGTTCGTTATGCCCGCTATTGGGTTGGTGGTTGCTGGTCGGTGGTGGTGGGCGTCCAGTTAGCGGGGAAAGCATATGCCCCGTCCGTGCTCGCATATAGGATTCATATTCCGTAAACACTCTGATAGAATGTCTCCCCCAAACCGTTAACTTTGAGCCCATATATCTCATTTCTCATAAAAGATATCAGAAAGTGGTCAACTGACAAAATGTTCATTATAAAATTAAAAACATTTTTTTAGTTGACAACTTTTCGAAGTCTTTCACAGAAACCGAGATAAATTAGCTCGAACTTGAATGTTCAAGGGGAAGGAGTGGGTCATTCTATGTGTGCTCACGGAACCCTGTGGTTTTCAAATACCGTCTCAGGGAATTTTGGACAAGCAAACGCTCAGGGAATTTTGGGCAAGCAAACGGCAAGTTGCGAGCCATTTGGCAAGTTGCTGAGCAGAATCAGCAAGTTGCTGGGCAAATTAGCAAATTGCTAGTGCTTGTTGATCTTGTTCGAGGAGGGTCGTACATCAGCAAGTTGCCGCATGCATGAAACTTGCTTGCCGTTGCTTGCCGTGAAAAAAGCAAGTTGCCGTTCTCTTACTGCGTTCAGATGGCATTCAAACGGCAACTTGCTCTATACAATAGCAAGTTGCTGACCCGAAAAAACGGCTTGCCGTTTGTCAGCGGCAAGCAAAATTTTCGGGTTAGCAACTTGCCGAAAAATTCCCTGAGCGGCAAGTTGCGAGCCGTTTGGCAAGTTGCTGAACAGAATCAGCAAGTTGCTGGATAAATTAGCAAGTTGCTACTGCTTGCTGACCTTGTTCGAGGAGGGCGGTACATCAGCAAGTTGTAGCATGCATGAAACAGTTTTAGCAAGTTGCTATTTGCTTGCCGTGAAAAGAGCAAGTTGCCGATCTCATGCTGCGTTCAGATGGCTTTCAAATGTTTTCGAATTATTGATTTTTCTTTTGTCCTATTTTGTCCTATTTATCCTATTTTTTGCTTGATTTTATTGTTTTTCAAACTACTTCACAACGAAATGGAAAGAAAGCTTGAAGGTAATATTGAAAGTGTATATTTCTAGGAAAAATTAATACTTTTAAGGTTTAGACAGCTCGGACTAAGATCATCGAGGAACAAGAAATTTGTGGAAAATTCGAATTATAGGACAAAAACATGTTATATTTTGGATCGAACTCTATGGTTTATCATGTGGATCCAGGTAAGACTTGAAGCGTTTCATTGCAGAAAAATATGTCAAGGAAGTGATAATATTAACCGGAAGAAATATATCCAAAGCTCGTCAGAAAATTTTATAATTTCTCCACGATATAGTCATCAAAGTTCGAAATTATCATTATGATACGATCCACAAAGAACGAGTGGTTTTATCAAGTTAAATATCGAAGAACAACTGGAAAAGCGAACGATTGAAGCATCGACACAGTGAGTTGCTACCTTCAAAAACAATCTTCAGAGCTTTTTTTTCAGTTATCACACTATTTCTCACAGCCGTGCGACAAGCCTTGCATTTGCATACAGTAATGCCTACGTATTTGCAAGAAACTGCCTACGTATTTGCAAGAAACTTCCTCAAATTCATGGAAAAATTTTCGGATTTAATTTGAACATTGTTCCCTTAATTTCCCTTACTGTATACCCTCCACCTATATGTAGTTGACTTCTTTTTTTTCCTACTATTGTTTTCACACTCTGTTTCCTCAATAAATATGTCCTAAATAAATATGTCCACTTCGAAATTATGAGAAAAAAACGCTCTTAATTCGGCAAGTTGCCATCTAGATTTCATGAAGAACGGCAACTTGCTTTATAAAACAGCAAGTTGCTGACCCGAAAAAACCGCTTGCCGTTTGTCAGCGGCAAGCATTTTTTCGGCTTAGCAACTTGCTAATATTGGGCAGCAACTTGCCGAAAAATTCCCTGAGAAGGAGACAAATTTTCATAATGAAACATCTTTCTAGCCATAGTTACAGCCAATCAAAGTATTACCCGTTATTGATATATTTGCTCCCTATTTTTCTTTTTCTACCGGTTACATCTTTCCTGTGTCAAATATCTAAATTATCCCGTTTCCCCTCCCCTACTCAGATCGGCCTCGTGAGTGGCATTTTTTCTGAGTCTTTCATGTCCTGCCCTCTAATGTTTTATTACACCTGATCAACAAACTAATTAAATTAAATTAAATTAAACAGCCGAAACGACCCTGGGGGAAGAATAATTAGGCTCTGCCCCTTTTTCTGTGGTCGCTACTCATAGGGGAAATCAGTGTCACTGTAATCTTGCTTGTTCACCTATTTTCTTGTTACAGTATATATTTCGCTCATTTATTTCGACAATCGAAAAAAAAGTCACAAATCTGATCAGTTATACATTGGGGTAATTAAAGATAGCAAAGTTACAGTAGTCACTTTAAGCTGCGTGTTGGAACTCCTGATACCGAAACACTCTTTGTTGGGATCGCTTTCCGAATCCCCAAAATTCTCAAACACTCTTCACGAATCGATCTGAAATTCAAACATCATCGCTTATTTCTTATTTTACCCACTCATTGAGAAAAAATGTCGAAACTGGATTGACATAGCAGTGAAGTAAATAGTATACAAAAATTCATTGCGGCTTGAATTTTTGTTTTTGTCATATCTATAAAAGACATAAATGGGAAAAACGCTTGGTGCCAGATTAATATGAGTATGGAAATGTAGCCAGTCACTAATGTGGATTGAACCAGAATTAGAATTTCGTCTTTGCGGGATTGCACACTACTCCAGAGGCTTTTCTTCTGAAGCAATATTTTTGTAATACGCTGAGAGTTTTAACTTACAGAATAAATCAAATACGCCATAAACATATAGGCTATATATGACAGTGGGAGGCAAGTAAACCTTTTAATAATTTCTTGGGTATCGAAGAATGTAATCACGGGGAGACTATGATCGTAATCCAAACCAGGCGTTACAAAAACAGTGTATTGGAAGTATGGTCCAAAAAATAAACAAAAAGATGGACCACGAAAGTATTGCAAATAATGCGAGTTTAACAAAAATCGGCATTTTCTTCTGTTCAATGACCTTCGTAAAGACGAAAATACGACAAATACCAAGAAGAAAAATTACAGGAAAATCGCAAATCCGACATAAATTTTGAACAGTTCCCATAACCTGAAAAGTTATTTTTTCAAATATCTACAATTATATAATTTACATTCACAAAAAAGTTAACTTGGAAAGGAGAACTGAGAATATCAGTGCAAATCCTGATGTGATGTTCTACTGTCGATTTTTCGAATATATCGCCTGAATATTTCTTATTTTCAGAATATGACGGTTTTCAGTTAGCTTCAAACAAAACATGAATGATGGGACAGACTAGCGTTTCCATATTTGGGTTGATTTGAAATAAAGATTTTTGAGATTGAGTTGAAATAAAGATTTTTGAGGTTGACATGATGAATAGTCAGTTCGTCGTTACCACTCAAAAAATCTGGACGATCTGTGACTCAATTTTTTGTAGACATTTTCATTATCGATAGTTCCCCACGGTTCTTCAAGGTATGAAAACAGCAAAAAGTTCCGCCTTCTGTTTGTGTTTTAGTTCCGAAAAAATTAGTCATTAAAATAATTCATTCCGAAAACATTACATTTAGTAGGACAATTTTGCAGAAACCGGAAACAGAGACATCAATCGGATTTTCGGGAAACTGCCTTTCCCTAGGATACCATTGTCTCTAGGCTGAAAATGAAATAATAAACATTTATGAATTTTGTCTGATCTTTCGAAGCAATCACTTTCACTGTTAGGTAGTGGTCCTCTGAGAACAGACGAGTTTTTGTGCATGTGAGCTTCTAACAGTAAGCCAAACGAACATCAAGCCAACTTCTGAGCACTTATTACTAGTAGTTGTTTTCTTGTAAGTTTTTTTTGATTTAGTTTGTTTCGTTCCTGTTAAGGTCGGGCTTCGAAAAATTGGGCAAAAGCCTGGTCCAACCTTGCCTGCCTTCCCGTTGTGTTTTATGAACACCAAAGATGTAGATTCGAAATATGTGTTCTTTGTTTTTCATTAACATAATAACAGTGGTGAGAATATTTTAGATGTGCAAATGTGTTTTCTTATTTTTCACAATCATTCACCTAAATGTCACCGAATAAATCATTGCCCCTTTTTAAACTAGATGATGACTTAGATACAGTCATATACGGTGGTATATACACAATTCTTTCGGCTTTAACGTATCCTTTATATTTCATTGTGATGAAGGTGAGAACATCAAAAGAACATTTTTTGACACCAACCTCTAGTTTCTTGTTTCTCATTTCAGGCAATTCATATGGAAAACCGGTCAAACTCTAGTATGTCATACATTCTGATGAATATCATAAATTTTTACCAACTCGGTGAAGCTGTATGCCATTGTTTTTCTGGTCCTGTTCTTATGTTTCCTATCATTCGTGCGAAGTTTGATTTCGCAGTCAATGTAGCATATCTTTATTTTTTGAAAAGAATAATTACAAGTTCCAGGTTGTGGGATCTACTTTGAACTCATTCTGGTGTTGTGATTTTCCTGTGGTGACACTTCTAGCATTCTGTCGAATCCTAATTTTTACAAATAGGATTGGCTTGAAATCATTTCCAATTCTTGTAAAATTAATTTTGTTAGCAATCGCTGGCTGGACACTTTTCTTAGCTATTGGCGGATTTTATACCCAGTACTTCATTTTTGTAACACCTGGTTGGGATTACAACTATACGCTCCCGAGTATTCCATTTTGGGAGTATCAAGAAATGTTTATCAGCTTTACTTGCATTCCATTATCCTACATTGCTTACATTCTGATGGCGTACTTGATATTTGCGGTAAAATGAAGAATATCATCTGATAACCGAAGATAATTGCAGAAGAAGAATCTGTCCAGAAGTGTTCAATCACGAAAAAATGAAATCTCCATTTTGGTCCAGTCAACGTTTGTAACTATCTATGTAACTGTATTGGTTCTTCTTTGGCATATTTCCTTGTTTCCTCCTCTGATGGCTTTGATTGATATGGAAAACAGAAGAAATCTGGCAATTATGAATTCGTGCTATATTCTTCATTGTTATGTGAATCCGATTGCAACACTGTTCTGCAATAAGTGAGCAGAGAGATTTTCGAAACCATGATTTACGTTTTATGGTTCAGAACGATCCGCGAAAAATGCTTGAAAATTGTGGGACACCAAAAATCTACTCATAAGAAAAGTGTTATAATATCCGGAGCATCTGCAACTTTCCCCCCAAGAACCAGTGTTATCACCATAATACGAACTTGACTTTATTATAATTTTTTGTTTTTTGTTTCAAATGTTCTTTGAGATAGTGAACACTTCAGGAAAATGAGGAAGTCTACAAATTTGCAGTGTTCCCACAACGGTGTTCAGTAAATGAAAAATAAGATACATATTTATTTTGAGCCTATATTTTTGGTGTTGTGCATTGGCTCACGATTCATTATCTTCGAGAAAAAATGGGGTCTTTCGTTAATTAAGATTCCTTGAAAAAACTCGTAAAAATAACTGATGAAACGTCTGGAAAGGCTCGTTTCAGCACTGGTGTTCGGTATTTTTTCATGTCTTTTCAGAAAAGTCTCGGGGTTAATTTTAAAGAAAAACAAAATTTCTGTAATAAGCTCGCCATACACGGAGTTTCATTGAGAAAACATTTTTTAACATTTCAAATGTGCACAACCCGGGATGGGCCGTGGAAGTCTTGCGGGCCTGGTCAAGCCGACTGGATACTGATTTTTCAATTGTCGTCAATTTTTTTTTTGGTTAAAAATTTCTTCTGAAAATAAATGAAACCAGGTTTTTTTACTTTTATGAATACACTCGAGTTAGCTGTTAAAGATACTCTAAACATTCAAATTCACAAATAATTCAATGTTTTTGTTTTATAAAAAACTCTAAACGATTTGTAATCAAGTTCTGGATTCTATTTTTAAGTTCCTGAGATTCATGATGCTTACGTGTTAATGTTAACGTCTATAAATTCAGGCGGCCCAAAATTTCACACAGTTTCAGCTGTCAACATTTTTTATAATCACAACCCACCACGCTCAAAAACTTTATATAACTTTTGAGCCAACTAAAAAAACTAACTTTGTTATATAAAACCAGGTTTATATTAAATTCCTTATTCGAAGAATTTGTCTAACTACACGTTCTGGGCAGTGCAAATCGGAAAACATTTTGCTCCTTTGATTCATAATATCACAAGATCCCTGAAAGTTCTCACGGTGCCCGCAAAGGTTTCTGCTGAAATCGCAACACAAAAAAGTTTTGATTTCTTGGATTTCACATCGTTTCTTTGAATAAAATGTCTTCTAACACTTCGAACTATCTATTTCAAACCAACGATGATTTTGCAATGATTGAGTATGGTATTGCTGACTTTGTAATAGCAGCACCACTATTCCCGTTGTTTTTTGTAATCATGAAAGTAAGAAACACAAATTTTCAATTTTTTATTTTCTTCTCTATTTTGAGACAATCTACTTGAAAGATAGGGAAAATCCAAATATAGCTTTGAAACTGATGAATCTAGTAAACTTCTGCCAGCTTGGTCAAGCCATATCTCATTTTATCAGTGGACCTGTTTTAGAAGCTACATTGGTTTATTGAAAGATATAGAATGATACAATAGAGGAGCTTTTATACTGGTTATATGATAAAGAATTTAATAAAAGAAAGTGATTGCGGGGGATTCAATGCACATTTCCCGGTGAATCACCATCAGAAGAGTGCGATTTAGCACACTCCCGGCTTTAGAGAAAAGAAGACACAACGAAATTTAAAATTAGTTCTCCATTGGTCCAATTGACACTGAAGAACTGAGTGACTACGTCTTCGGCGTCCACTCGCCTCTTGTAGTACTGTTCTGCGTCACATCGTTAGTGCCTTTTCTCGTATCGTCTTGGCGAGCGTTCGAAGGTGTGACATCTACGGGGTCCATGATTCTACTGAATACGTCTCGTAATGTCGTTAACGTCGCGTCTTTGTGATCTAACACCTCGGTGGTCTAGCATGAAAGGTCAAAATCTCTCGTTGGAGAGAGGCTCCGGGCGGGAAAAGCGTCCTTGTCGGTTCACTTTTGATCGGAGCAAGAAGTTAAGTTCTTCTTCGTTGCTGCTTATCATAAAAATAAGACTTACGGTTTGAACAATCCATATTGTTCGGAGGTGAGCTGCAAGCTCGGGTGCAACTGATATCTGACGTGCTACGAGCGCTGTCTTATAGCTTTCTTGTCCTCGTTCAGATGCGTCAAATGTGATCGTCCTCACCAAGTCCCGACCACTTCGTTCGAATGATTTGGACCTGCTAATCCTGTGTCCACCAGCTCCCCAAGTCTCAAGTATGCCAATGACTTTGTTGACTATATCAGGAGCTGCCAATCATGTCTGGTACTGCATGCCGCTTGCGATACAGTAGTGAATATTGCAACAGCGAATAATAGGAGTGTAGAGGTACCAATGTAGAAACCTGCCACGCGGGACTTTGAGCGACCGGGGTTTTCAACCCACGATGCACCATGTTTTAGAACTACATTGGTTTTTTGAACGATATAAAATGATACAATAGAGGGGCTTTTATACTGGTTACATGATAAAGAATTTAATAAAAGAAAGTGATTGGGGGGATGCAATGCACATTCCCCGGTGAATCACCATCAGAAGAGTGCGATTTAGAACAGGACCAATGCTCATATTCCCCCAAATACATCAAAAACTGGATGTCATTCTCCGGGTATTTCAACCAAACTTTCTCATTTTTTAATTATATATTTTTAGATCATTGGGTGCACAATGAATAGTCTCTGGATATGTGATTTCCCAGTGATGACTCTTTTAGCTGTCTGTCGTATTCTCATTTTCTCAAATGTAATTGGTCCCAAAAAGTTTCCGCTTTCAATCAAGGTCATATTGACCACAAATAAACCCTGTATAATTTTTATGGGTTTCAGAAAAAAAAACCTGATTAGTTGTCATCAATCAAGAAAGAACGAGATTGGAATTTTGCTCCAGTCCACTTTTGTAACTTTGTATATCACTGGAATGATATTTGTATGGCATCAAGACTTGTCGTCATTTGTTTCCTTTGTGAATATGGAGGTTCAGAGGAATCAAGCAATTTTGAATTGCTGTTTGATCCTTCACTGTTATGTGAATCCTGTTCTAACATTAGTTTGCAATAAGTATGGTTTGAAAAAGCAATTTCAGAATAATTTAAAATTTTTCAGAACAATTCGAGAGGACTGTTTGAAATTTTTGGGGTTTCGAGAGAGGAGACGTGTCGCATCTGTCGTAATTTCCAAGTTGTCTTCGATACATCCAACGGAAACCCGTGCAACGGAAACTAACCCAAATGAGATTCCCCACTACGATAAATTTCCTTTTTTTGTCGTGCTCAATAAATTTTTTGTATTTGTTGATTTCTTTGTACTTTTGACTTCTTCTAAGTTATTTATTCTTCGAATTTATTTCGGAGAACGCAAATAAAAACGGCGTCAAATTATCATAGCTTCTAGAATACGTCACTTTTGGAGGTCTTTCACAAAATGACTCCGACCCCAAAAATACCGAGGAACCCAAATTTCAGAGATCGTCTCTTATCTCTTTCATAAAGGCCGTTACCGTGAATTTTTGGAAAAAGTGAACATACAGATTTTGACAGAGGGTTTAAAAGGATGTCAACTAACCCTGTCAAAAAATGAGAAATGTCTGAAAGACTTTCTGAAAACACAGCTCTTGTAAGTAGGGGCACATGTGCCAAACATTTGCTGAGAGTGTTCTACTCAGGAAATTTTGGGCAAGCAAACGGCAAGTTGCGAGCAATTTGGCAAGTTGCTGAGCCCAATCAGCAAGTTGCTGGATGAATTAGCAAGTTGCTACTGCTTGCTGACCTTGTTCCAAGAGGGCGGTACATCAGCAAGTTGTAGCATGCATGAAACAGATTTAGCAAGTTGCTATTTGCTTGCCGTGAAAAGAGCAAGTTGCCGATCTCTTGCTGCGTTCAGATGACATTCAAATGTTCTTGAATTATTGATTTTCTTTTTGTCCTATTTTGTCCTATTTATCCAATTTTTTGCTTGATTTTATTGTATTTCAAACTAACTTCACAACGAAATGGAAGGAAATCTTGAAGGTAATATTAAAAATGTATATTGCTAGAAAAATTAATATCTTTTAAGGTTTAGACAGCTCGGACTAAGATCACCGAGGAACAAGAAATTGGGGAAAAGTCGAAAACCTTCAAAAACAATCTTCAGAGCTTTTTTTCAGTTATCACACTATTTCTCACAACCTATGCGACAAGCCTTATCTGAAGTTGGATCGCATTTCGAAATTTGTTTATAAAGTAAGAAACATTTCTCAAGCAGTTCGTGAAATCTTATTTTCAGAAGTTCTTGCATTTGCATACAGTCCACTCCGTGAGAACCCTCTGCTATAATCGTTCGTGATGCGAAACGTTGAATATAATTGAACGTCGAAATTTTTCTTGAATGTCGAAGTTGATGGAAATTTAAGATACACATTTAGAAGAACTCAAAATGCGAAGGAATGCCTACGTATTTGCAAGAAACTTCCTCAAATTCATGGAAAAATTTTCGGATTTAATTTGAATATTGTTGCCCCAATTTCCCTTACTTTGTACCCTCCACCTATAGTTGACTTTCTTTTTTCCTACTATTGTTTTCTTACTCTGTTTCCTTAATAAATATGTCCTAAATAAATATGTCCACTTCGAAATTATGAGAAAAAACGCTCTTAATTCGGCAAGTTGCCATCTAGATTTCATGAAGAACGGCAACTTGCTTTATAAAACAGCAAGCTGCTGACCCGAAAAAAACGGCTTGCCGTTTGTCAGCGGCAAACATTTTTTCGGCTTAGCAACTTGCTAATACTGGGCAACAACTTGCCGGAAAATTCCCTGAGTAGATGTAAAAATCTACTGCTGATGTCATCTAACTAAAATTTCTGCACTACTGAATTTGAACTCATTTTCAGAGAGAATCGCGTCTTGTGTTACAGTGAATCACTTGTTATTCTCGATTATTTTTTCTTTTTTATGAACTACAAATACTTCTGGTGTGAAAGAATTAGTATTAAAACGAGGGGAATATTTTGATCCAATAATTTTCATCCGAAAAAAAATCTCATGGCGCTGTCTAATGAGTCATCACTATTCGTTTTCAATCCGGATGTCGAGATGAGAAACTTTGGATTTGCTTACTGTATAATTACCGTACCATTACCATTTTTATTTTTTCTGGTTATCAAGGTAACATCTCATAAAATTGAATGGTCCCGGGAAATTGGTCTAACCTTCAGGCACTCTATTTGAAAAATCGGGAAACAGCAAACATGACATTCAAGCTTATGAACATCATCAATTGCTCCCAACTTGTTCAGTCCATCACACACTTTTTAACAGGACCTGGTCTGATTTTTCCCAATATACAAAAACGTTACGGATTGTTTGTGAATGTAAGTCTCTAAGTTTTCCGATAGTCAAAGTATTTTCCGAAGCATTCAGATAGTCGGATGCACCATGAATACGTTCTGGATTGCTGATTTTCCAATGATTTCTCTTTTGGCTGTCAGTAGAATCTTGGTTTTCACCAATAGAATTAAAACCACTCGATTTCCAAAGCCAATGAAAGTTCTTATATTTCTATCGTGGTCCTGGATCGCATTTGTTCTAATCTACGGATGCGCTACTCAAAATTTGATCTTTGTGTCGCCAGGATGGGATTACGATTTTAGTGTTCCTTACGCCGAGTTTTTCTCAAATCTGGAAATTACATTGAGCCTCTCTTGTTTGGCTATTTCGTATACATCATACATTTCAATTGCATTTTTGATTTACAAGGTACGGATGAAATAACATGAGAACATCTCTTTATTCCGAAAACTAAACTCTTCAGCAAAAAACTATTATGAGCTGCGTTCAATCCAGAAAAAATGAAACCATGATTTTACTGCAATCGACTTTAGTAACCGGATATATAACTGCAATGATTTTTGTCTGGCATCAGGCATTATTCGCAATGGTCTCTTTCATCGATATGGAAAGTAAAAGGAACCAAGGGATTTTGAATTGCTGTCTGATGTTTCATTGTTATGTGAATCCCACAGTGACCATCCTCTGCAATAAGTAAGAAATTGTGAACCGCATTTTTCATGTACTCTATTTTCAGATCAGTCAGAGAAATTGTCCTGAAAATGTTTGGAATTGAGAAAAAGGATATCGAAAGTCAAAATGTAACCCGAATATCATCAATTCTTCCCACAATAACTGTCACAAATGTTTTATAATTTTCGTACTTTTCTTTTGAATTTTTAAAAGCATTTTATTTACATATTTCTGAATTTAACCCAACTTCTTTGAGAATTCTTCATTATGCACCAGCATGTTTGACACGCCACTGGCGTTTTAAACAGCTGGCTGGTGCGCTTTCGGAGCGATAAGACCTATTCAAAATGTTTTGTTCGGATTTTTTAAATTCAACATTTCCAAAAGTCGGATGCGAATTAACAATGGAAAATAACGATAAAAAGGAAACGGAGCTCATCCGTCATTTTTTCACAAACGGGAAATTTCAGTCAACCTCCCGCGTCTCTGTAGCGTGCGGTGACCCCTTCTATTCCTCTGATATCGGTTTTTTGGCCGCTATGGTTGTAACTATTATTAAACATAAACCTCGAAATAAGAGAAAAGCTCTCTCGGCCTTGAAAAATAAAAATGGCGGTAAGAAATCCAAATTATCTGAATATTCCAGTAAGCAAGCTGTGGATGATATAATTGAATCTGTGGATGATATGTCTAACCCATTATATGAACTGCTGTCCAATGATTTCAAATCGAAAGAAGAATTCACTGTGAATGATATTGCAATGATGTTTAAGTCGCTGGCTGAAACGATTCTCAAGCTTCAATCCCAAAACACAATGTTGAAAAACCAAAACTGTATTCTAAATGGCAATTTGTCAAATCTTACGGAGAAAGTTGATGGCTTGGAGGAGAATCTCAAATTGTTATCATCTCAACCTAAAGGATCACCAAAACCTCCTACTACATTAATTAAAACTTTTGCTTCAGCTGTCGCCTCAACCATCTCTGCTCCAGAATCCCAAATCACTTTCATGCGAGCTGCCTCATTGGCTAACTCTGAAGATGCACGGAAATCGAATGTGATCATCAAAAATATCGACCTTTCGGAAGAAGCTATTGAGAAAGCTGGTGCTTGAATGCGTCTCCCCGCCCAGACCTCTCCAAACCAGAACTCCAGAAATATCGACAATCCTGGAAAACGTTGATCCAAAAGAACAACGAGGCAGGTCAAACCATTTACACGGTTCGCAATCTGGAAGTCGTCAAAGTTGTCTACAGAGAAAATCAGGAGCCGTGGCCATGGGCCAAAAAACACTCGATCCCAGAAAATTTCTAAAAATTGGTTACACCAATAGCTGCTCAATTAAGAACAAAGTCCTCCAACTCGATCTATGGTCTTCTAATTCCAACATCGATATTCTCTGTTTAGTGGAAACTAAAATTGATTCAAACTATCCTGACTCCCTGCTATCTCTTGATGAAAAATATGCTGAAATCCGGAAAGATCGAAACAGACATGGCGGAGGTCTATCTGTGGATATCAAAATACATGGCAAAACTACAAGATTAATTGTAAGTTATAATCCTAATCACAACTACTGTTTTAAGGACCTTCGAGAATCACTTAACATACTCTTGTCAACTGAAAATCCATCTATTATCACTGGAAATTTCAATTGTGCCCATGTTGATTGGAATTCATATACAGCATTTGATTCTCAATGCCAGTCACTGTTGGACTTTTCGCTTTATAATGGCCTGACGCAATTTGTACAAAATCCAACAAGACTCGAACCACCAAATATATTGGATCTTGTGTTCACTAATTCCATGAACATTATTCGTGATGTCATTGTTGGTGAGAAATTCAGTGACCATTGCAGGATTGAGATTGATATCTTTATATTGCTTAACTCTATTTCACCCCTCAAATCAACGAAAAATTTCAAAAAAGGAGATTTTAGATCGATGAATTATATTCTATCAAATATCGACTGGGATTTACGATTTTCAACAATGTCAATTGATGAAATGTTTGATGATTTGAGAGAAATAATTCTGGAGCTTATTGAATCTTTTGTACCAACAGAAACTCATCGAATTCATAATATAATTTATTCCAAAGAAACCAAACAATTACTAAAGAAGAAATTATTGATTTGGAAGAAAGCAGGTAACTCGGAAGAGTATAAACATGTTTCAGCACTATTCAAAAGGTCACTCGTGAAATCTGAAGAAGAAAGAATCTATAAACGTCTGAATTCTGGATCAAAAAATTTTTTCGGATTTATGAAATCGAAATTTAAAGGAAACAGTGATATACCGGCAATACGATATAAATCTAATGAGAATGTTATCATGAGTGATGAAGGAAAAGCCGAAATATTTGGAGATTGCTTCAGTGAATTTTTCAACATTGACAAAGATATCCTTCCTGATACAGGGAATCTAACTTCTAAGTTCAGCTCAGATGTCATATTCACGCCGGAGAATATCGAGATATTACTATATAAACTGAAACGCCGAAATAATACTTTTCCGGATAGTATCCCGTCAATATTTCTGAAAAGAGCGTGTGCTCCTCTTGCGATTCCACTATGCATTATATTCACAGAAAGTTATCGAGTTGGAAGAATACCAAAATCTTGGAAGGAGGATTGTTATGCCGCTTCATAAGAAAGGCTCCCGCTCCGATCCTTTAAATTATAGACCAATCTCTTTAACATCCAATATATGCAAGGTTATGGAGAAGTTGATACGAAAACATCTAGTCCAATACTTATCCGAAAATAATCTATTATCAGAAAAACAATTCGGGTTCCTTAATCAGAGAAGTACAATTTCCCAACTGATCGCCTACCAGAACAAGCTTGTTTTCAATTCTTTAAATGGGTTAGATACCCATAGCGTCTATATTGATTTCCAGAGGGCTTTCGATACAGTGCCGATAAACAAATTGATTCATAAGTTGGAAAGCTTTGGAATATCTCCCAAACTAAGAAATTGGCTTCATTCATTTGTCACGGACAGAAAATTTCAAGTCAAAATCAATGATATACTATCGAAGGAGAGGCGCGTATTGTCCGGAGTCCCGCAGGGCTCTGTTCTTGGGCCTACCCTCTTCTTGTTATATGTTTTCAGAATTTTCAAAAAATTCGGGTTCAAGTTGGCACGTGGGTTCAAGCGAGGGGGTCAGAAAGCTCGCCCCAGCTAACTCGTAGGCCAGCCGAAATTAACTAATTCAAAATGACACGTGGATTTCACGTGGTTGTTTCTAATGTTTTTTCAACGATACAGAAGGCTATGAATTCGTTTTTTTTCGGTGAATACTGCTCCATTTATGTTGCTGTTCTCCCTAAATTGCCCGAGAAGGGCAAGGCAATATATGACCATTTATTCAGATTTAAACATATAACAAGAGAGATAACAATTATTATTAGACCCAATTGATCCATGCGACTTCTCACGATGATCCATCCGACTTCTCATGAGGACAGCTCGTGTCGTTGTTGTCTTCGCAATCGGATCCCGGATTCTGGTTGCTCTGAAAATAGAACGAATTATTGAATTACTTCTAATGAACAAATAATAATTATGGAAGAACCTCAATGCATTTAATGTCACCTAAGGACATGACATCCGAAATATATATGAGATAGTATTCCTACAAATTTTATCCAAATGTTATGTCAGGGTTATAATGGCTCATCAAAGTTTACTCACATCCATCATCGAAGTGATATCCTTCGCTTCGTTGTAAACTCACAGATTTATTGGCCGACAGATGAGCGAATGCGAACGAAGATTACTTCAGCTTCTTCTTGATGCGGAGATCGTTCGAGTGTCCGCACTTCTTATTTCTGCAGTTGATGGATAACGTTCCGAGATCAGAGTTGTTTGCCATTTTCGAGTTAGCTATATCATTTCCTTCTTTGGGTATTTCGTATCTGTCATATTTGGTTATCACTTATCTAATTTTCATGCAAAAGAAATTGAGAAGCAATCAAAATCGAGCTAGCCAAATTCGGTTGTTATTTCAATCCACATTTATAACCAGTTACCTGACACTAATGATACTTGTCTGGCATCATCAAATTTTTGGTTTCATCATGCCCTTTGATTTGTTCAGCCTGCGGGTTCGAACGGTTATGAACGGATTATGGATTCTACATTGCTATATGAATCCTGTTATGATTTTGATTTTCAATAGGTAAGCCGCCAAATAATTTTTAAGAATTTTATTTCAATTATTCAGACCAATTCGAGAAGCTTGCCGAAAAGTTCTTCAATCATCGCGTTGTGGGTTCAATATTAAAATAAATGAAGCATCTCCAAAACAGTAAAAGTATTAACATTTTCAATTTTTTCTAGTTTTTGTTTGTTGATTCTCAGAGATCCATGTTCAAATTCCAAGAATGATTTTTACTAATCAGTCTTTCTTTACAAACGACCCGTTTTCATTTACAAAAAAACAACTGACTTCAGAGGAGAACGCCTGACATCTAACAAGGTTTTCAATCAACCCTGTTTTTTTTCTTGTTTTTACGGTTGATCTTCAAGCTCCTGACAAAGCCTGCGCCGATCCTAGCACTCATCATTACGGTAATTAAAGGAGGCCAGACACCAAAAAAAAAGTTTTCCTGATATTTTGCATAGAGAACCCCCATGAGGGGTGGAACTCATGACAGGCAGCTCAGGGGTACAGCGCCGCAACCGGCTGAGCTACGGGGGCGCGAAGGCGCCTGACGACCGATGGACTACATAACCGCGGCGCGATTTCGTCCCCGAACTGCCCCCGAAATGTTTGCTGTCTCGCCTCCTTTAAACTAATTTTCATAAACATAATGCAGTTTCAATATTTCAGACTCTCAAATTGAAAAATGCTCAATCACCAAACATGGCATTCCGATTGATGAATATTATCAACTTCTGCCTACTTGGGCAAGGACTTGGGCATCTAATAACTTTTCCTTGTCTAATGTTTCCTAATTTGTTGAGAACTTTTGAAACCGTAGTTAGGGTAAACATTTCTACATCATCTAATTTTCCTTATAAATTTTGTTTCAGATAATCGGTGGAATCATGAATACGCTATGGATCTGTGATTTGCCAATGGTAACTTTGCCAGCCGTATCAAGAGTCTTACTATTCTCCAACACTATTCCAACTCGCCAAAGCGACAGGATCATAAAATTTTTACTCGCTTTGTTACTATCATGGATATGTATTCTTTTAGTTTATGCCGTTTCATTTCGATATATGATGATGTACCCACCAACATGGGCGTATGACTACGATGTTCCATTTTGTCATTTATTTGATACTCTGGAAATTTCGTTGAGCTTCCCTTGTATAATTATTTCTTTTCTTTCTTACTCATCCATTGTGTACCTTATCTTCGTGGTGAGTCATAAATTGTATTTTTTAGGTGGGGGACAGGAAAATGAAGATTATTTCGAAATCTGTTAATACAGATACGTCCCTCGATAAGTCGAACCTGTGGTTTTCACTCTGGAGATACCGCACCTTACTTTAACTGCAAAAAAACAACTCCGAAGAACCACCCTCTTTTAAATGAAAATAGGTTTCAGGCAAAAAATCTGAAAAGTAGTGTTGCCTCCAGAAGGAATGAAATATCAATTCTATTCCAATCTACGTTTGTAACTGGATATATATCTATGATGATATACGTATCGCATCCAGCTTATTTCCCTATGTTCCAGTTTATTGAAATGAATGATCAAACGAATCAGGCTCTTCTGAATTATATGTGGATTTTGCATTGCTATGTCAATCCGTGCATGCTCTTGGTTTTCAACAAGTGAGAATCTTCATGCCGTTTGATTTCTAGAAATTAACTTTTTGAGATCTATTCGAGAAGATTGCTTTCGACTTTTGAGGACTGGGAAAATCGACCAACCACCAAGAGCTGCTGGGACATCAATCGTAACCATGAGCTAATTTGGAGACTACAAATGGAATAAAGATTTCAGTACATATTAGCACTGGTAAAGAAACCAAAATGTACACAAAATTTTTTGTGATTTGTTCCCCACACTATTTGTTCTCGTGTGTCCTATAGCCGTAGTTTCTGCCAATGTTTCTATAAAAATCTCGTTGTTTTTTCTTTCTGTGCCCCTGTCTTGTCGTTTTTCATGTTGTTTTTGTTAATTTTTGCTGTGATGGGAGCTTATTTCTCAAACTCTGAAGCCGAAAGGAGTCTGAAAGTATTGAATGCAACATGTGGTCCAGTTCGGGGGAATATCTATCAACATGTAAGGGAACATACGGACTTTTTTCTGATTATAGTATTTTTTGTGCTTTTAGGGAAATCAAACTGTTGATGGCTATCTCGGCATCCCATTTGCTAAGGCTCCAATCGGTTCGTGCAGATACAAAAAACCAGTGGCAGCAGATAAATGGACGGAGACACTCGACTGCTACAGTTATGGACCCGGATGCCCTCAATCTGGATTTTATCCGTGTTAGTGAGCAATAAGTGTATTTTCGAGGCCCATACTCCCAGGGGGCATCGAAATAGGGGGCATCGTGCTCAAAGGGGGCATACACTCATAGGGGTCACTAACTCATAGGGGGCATCCTGAAATTGTCTTTTAGGGGGCATCCCACCATGTCTCATAGGGGGCATCGGACCAAATGCTCCCAGGGGGCATTGATAGTCTCATAGGTGTCATTGAGATCAATTTGAGTACATGATTCTGAATATGATGAATTTTTATTTTTACATCTTTTTCGTAGTTTTTTGAGGAAAACAAACACAATTGAAGACTATCGAAGGTGTTATTTCGGAGGGTCAACTGGGTAGAATTTCGGCCAATAGTTCGGGGGTACAATGATTCGGGATTACAACTCATTTCATTCAGGGGTACAATGCTTGTGATTCGGGGGTACAGTTTTTTTTTGAGGGAGTTTCTGAATTTCTGAATGTCAGAGCTTGAAAATCTCAGAATTCTCAGAATTTCAGAACTTCAGAGCCTGAGAATTTCAGAATGTTAGAATTTCAGAACTTCGAAATCGCAGAACTTCAGAATCTCAATATTTTTGAATTTTTTAAAATTACGACAGAAAATTTTCACTTCTCATTGTCACATTGTTCTATTTGATGTTGTGTCATATTTCTCACTCATTATGAAAAAAATTGTGGAAATTGTGCTGTGCTGAAAGGCATTAGTTTTTTTTGAATTTTTGAATTTTTGAGTCTCGAAATTTCAGGAAAGCATACAACGGAGAACTGTAAAATAATCTTGACAAGTTTTACAAACTCAGGACTTTAAAGGGGGACTCCGACCAAAAATTTTTATTGCCTTAAAATGTTTCAAAAAATATATTTTTTCCTAATATTATTGCAAAAAAATTCAAAAAAAAATCTTGATAAGTTTTACAAACCAGGACTTTAATGCTTAATTTATGTTTTAAAACTCAGTCGATACTTTCCTCTACCAATTTTTCTCAATTGCTTTTTTTTCTCAATTCTATTTCATTTTTTTCTGCTTCTCAATATTCCTTCGGTTTTTCCCAATTTTCCCTTTATTCCTCAATTTTTCGTTTTTTTTCTCAATTTTCGTGGTAATTGAATTTTTTCTCATTTTTTTCATAATTTTCTAGATCATTGAATGGAGGAAACAATCACAATTTAGTGATTTACACACAAAAATTCAAAAA